CGGCGCACGGCAGGCAGCAAGACCACGCGCCCCCCACCTCGGCACCCTAGCGCCACTTAGCGTCAAAACATCCAGGGCCGGCTACACCAGGTTCTCCTCGCGCCTTTTCCTCTCACTGCGGATTCCAGCCAGGCCTTCCTCAGTCAGATTTCGTGGGCTACATGGCCCTCTGCTAGCCCAGACCAACGCTAGACACTTTTTCTTGATGATAGGCTTGGCCTAGATTCTGTCTAGCTGGTAAGTAGCTTGCCACTGGGGTGAAACTCCAAGTAGAATCTGTTTTGGATGATAGACTAGATGAGGGTAGTCTAGACTGGAGTCTTTGATTAGGGCTTCTGGTTCGAGTGTACAGTTGATTTAAATTGGGTGAGGTTATCTATAAGGTTTATGGTATCTATAAGCTAGAACCTTAAATCTTAGATGATGGATGTGGTAGATTGGGATAATCTTCGGTCTTTGCTCAGTACCTATTCAGTGTTTAGACTTCGTCCAAGTTAGCTGATTGTCTAGCTCTGAGCTTGGATTCCTGTTGGATCCTGTTTTTTAGATGGCAGATTCGACCTAGATTATGGGCAGCCTAGTCTGTTGCCTGTGATTAAATTGTAGACCTTGTACTTGGAGCTTAGGCGCGATAGGTCGGGTCTTAATAGTCTCCTGCGGATTCAGGAATCCTCGGGGACTACTAGAACTGGATAGAGGATATCATGTACTGCCTTGTTAAAGGAGGATCTTCCGCTTATTTTAATTAACACTGGTGTGGGTCTCTCCCAACGACCTTGTCTTCATCGCTTCCCCTTCCCCAGATCTCCAGAGACCTTTAAGAGCCTCATGGATTCACCGTTGCGTCCCAGTTCTTGTTAGCCAAGAACCATCGTCTTAGCAAAAACTGTCCAGGAGTCTGTCGCCCACTAGCTCGTCTTAGTGCTTTACTTGCTTCGCCCTTATTGAGTTCGTGGAAGCTCGAAGTTCCCTCAACGTGGAGTTGCCGTTCTTTCCCCGGTGTGTAACTGAATTTCCGGAAATTGAACTTCCAGAAACTTCGCCGCTGTTTTAACTCTACTTGGCAAATCGCTTGTGATGCTTTGATGTTGCTGTGGGCCCGCAGTTTGCTTTGGGATTAGGCTCCCTGGATGTCAGAGTTTTGCCAAATATTTCAAGGAACGCAGCTTCTGTCTAAGGATTTGTTCCTCGTGGCTGAAGAAAATTTGATTCGTCTAAACCGCGAATACAGATTGGAAGAGACTTTCTACTTCTTTTTTACTTCTTCATCGTCTTCTTCGAGATTGGCAGATGGATCCTCGAAGTTCCAAACCACTCTTTAAAGATTCTTCGCGCAGTATGGAAATGCTGAGAGTGACTTTCAGTGACGTTTGTACTATACGATAATGTTGTAGGCCCTTCTATTGTTCACGTACAAAATTTCAAAGATGTTTCTGAGTGCTTAATGAAGGATGAGTTGATTCAGCTGACTCTCCTGGTTGCAGTAGAAGCTTTCGCAAGTTTTCTATCAGGCTATCCTCAAAAATGACGAGATTTTATTAGGAAGTTTGAAGATTCGACAGCTCTTTGACATTCACTTAAAGTTTAAATAAGTTGTAGGATCATTGAACTTATTCCACAGTTCACGGACTCCTTTAAATCCCAATCAGGATTGATGTTGCGAGTTTCAAGACCATCTGTACCGAACTTTGCCTGGGAACATCTGTCACTGGCGAGCCAAACCGCGGTCCGCAACGTTTTGATTGATGCTCTCGAGTGGACCAGTGGTTCTTGTGTCGGAGAAGTGGCCGGAAACCGTGGAAAAATGGCCGACACTTAGTTAATCGTCGCAAATTAATCAGGAGACTGATACAGACACTGAATCTACCATTAGTTAGTCTCTAACTGAAGATACTGTCACAATTCAAGTTTAATTATTTTCTGTCTAATCGTTTTTCCTCGAATTACTGCGAACTATGTGTTCCCATCATTCTTCTCAGGGAGAATAGACTTAAATCGAGCGTGTTTGACGAGGTTTAACGATGTTTGAGGCATTCCTTTCACTTTAAACCAACTATTGTTCCACGAGGATTCACGCACAGAATATTTTTCTCCTGTGTAATTCTCTTATTACCACAGTTTGTCCATGTTTGACTCAGTTTGTCCACTGATAGAAGCTGGGAAACGATTCAAGGCTTCTCAGACGTCTTCCAGTGCACTCCGATCACAGAAAATCGCTGGAGAATTTGCTTTGGCACTGGGTATGGTGGAAAATCCGTGAGAACGAGAATTCTGAAGCGAGCCACAGGTTTTTTTTAGTAACAATCCCCTGTTCCATTGAATAATACAACGCAGCTGAGGACGCAGAGAGGAACACAAAACTGATTGTCGATGGTGAAAGGACTCCGTGACCGCACTGCGATCTCATTCGCAGGTAACGATGCGTTTGTGATTGTTCTCTGGGGGATTCGACTTGTCTGTTACGCAGACTATTAGTTAGAAGAGAAAATAGAAACATAGGCAGGGAGAGAGAGGACTTGAAAAATCGTGGAAACTCTGAAGCAAATTGTGTGAGTTGCATGTATCTGAATATAAATCTGTAGGACAATTTTGTTGCTTTTAGAATTCGGATTAAATAATTTTAGATTATGTTTGAACCATCCAAAAGATATGTCTGAATCAACCTCTAAGTTAGAAAAGTTAGAACTGTGTCAACCCCTGAGTTAAATATTTTAAGTTCAAACCTATTCTTGAATTACATGAATTATTTCTATTTCCTCCGTTCTTTTTAATTGTAGTATTTTTACTTTGTAATTAAGGTTTTCATTTAGAGTATTTCCCGAGTTAATTCAGTTTGGAGATCTGAATTATAATCTGTAATATTTTATACTGAATTAAATTTCTTATCAACGTCTTTTCACTAAAATATAAATTATTATTGAAAGTTTAAAAAATATTGAATGTAATTAGAGAATATCCACGTTAAATGTATTTTAGTTTCTGATCTGTTTAACAGTTTTTTTACTATACAAATGACATTTTCTCTGCAACCAAGCTTGATGCAACTAGGGTACTACAGTGTCATGGCATTTACCACGTCCTGATTATTCTCGTCATCGTAATATCAAGCCCTCGTCGAATCGCGTGTAATATTCGACGCCGTTTCGAGCAGGAAATCGAGTAGTTCCGTTCGAGTATTCGATATTAGGCGAACAGAAATCGATAGTTGAGGGGGCTGTTATCTTCTTGACCAAATACCTCCGAGCACACCGATTCCGAGAACTTTTACAGGCACTCCACGGTTCTCCATTGTTTCTATTTTTATTTTAACGAGTACTCTACCGGTCACGTGACCCCGCGATACAATTCATTTCCACTTTATTCTCAATTTCACTTCTTCCTTCAATTCAACTCTCCATTTTCCAATAATATAACACATCGTTGACACTTAATCAAATAGAACGCCCAGTGGCTATAAACAAAAATGAAGAACAGGGATATAAATAAAAAAAAGTAATAACATTTTTCGCTTGACAAATGAGAATTTATCCTTTCAATAATATAATACTTCATGAGCATATGATCAAATAAAATGCCCAGTGACTACGAATAAAAATAAAGAACAAAAGAAATGAAATTTTGAAAAGTAATAATACTTCTCGTTTGTAGTAGGAATTTATAGTTTCAATAAGATAATACTTTATTGGTACACGAGCAAATAAAATGACCGATGACCAGAAAAATAAAAAATAAAAAAAATAAAATTATAAGGATTAATAATACCTTACTCGTTTGGAGTAAGAATTTACAGTTTCTGAGCTAATGATGCAACAATCGTTGCGCGAATGAGCCAGAGAAGATTGATTTATAAGCTCGTTCGAATTCTTCGTCTCGAGCTAAACAACTCGGACCGTTATTTATCGCGAGGGAATGAAGGGTAACTTAGGGGCCAATTTACAACGGGACGTAAATCACTCGAGACGTCCAATATCGGAAGCACGGCCGCCGAATCTTATAAATAATTTGCCAGATCCGCTGCTCCGCGTGCTCAACGTCTGAAATGTCACGAAGCTAATCGTTACGTGGTCCAATTACACCCCGCCACGTGACATTTCCTGCGATATTACCGCGTTTCCGACGGCGGCCTCTTTATTTTACGCTCCGGGCTTTTCCAGGTGAGCGCTTCGCCATAGAACGGATTACGCGCGCCATAATACCTTTGTGTAATTTTGTGGTTAAACGTAAATGCGTTAATGCCTTCGTCTTGAATAAATGGAATCTGATTTGCTGCAGAGCGTTCAGGATATTTTCGGATTACCTTTGAATAATCGAACAATATTCAACGGAAGTCATAGTTGATTAAGGACAGATTATCTTTATAATGAATATAACGAGTCGTTATAATACATCCATTCTGGAAATTGTATGAACTGATTACTTCGGACAAACGATATGAAAGTGAAGCATGTTAATGATAAATTAATAGTGGTGTTTGCTTTATTTAATTCCATTGGATATTATAACTATTATAATTGTAATATATTAATGATATATTCAATATTATAACTGTTATAGTTATAATATATTAATAATATATTGAATATTATAACTCTATTAATATATTATTAATATATTGTAACTATAATAGTTATAT